GGGAAATTGCCACAATGAGTTGTTTTGGATGTAGCTCTCTAGCGCCACATTCATACTCTGTCACTCCAAATAAGTTTTGGAACTGACAACTTTGTTTCATAGTGATATGGAGACTGTTATATCAATTTATGTTGTGGGGTGTCCCAACCAAACTTAGGTTCAGAGAAATGCTCTAATTTCTTGTTTAATTTAGCTGAACGATTTGCAGAAGAAGGGGAAGTGACATTTAAAGCTCAACCGTTTCACTCTGATGAGTCTGGGGGAGCATCGGCACAAGACGGAGCTAGTGAGTAACATGTCACAGTAAATGAATTTCTGCAAATAAATATAAAAAACATTGTTATAAATAGAATTTTTCAAACAATTTCCAATGCTCTCGTACCCAATCAGGGATCAGGGTTATTCTACTCTAATATATATTCAAATGTGGCTCCTAACAAAACAATTCTGGCCCGAGAAATTGTACTTCGAATCTGAGTCATTTTATTCTGACTAGATAAGTTATATATGTCTGTCCTTATATAACTTCAGCATATGGCAGCCATGGCCTCTCATTTGGTTACCAGTCCATCTCAGGTATGGGAATAGTTTTGAAGTTGTTTGCTTCGGATTTATGAACTTGGATGGTGGAATAACCGACCAGCGCTTATGTTAACCAACCTACAAAAGCACAAAACCCAGTACTCCACTCAACTTAATTATCCAGGGAAGTCGAATTTGCAAACGTGCCCGGGTTGATTGAAGAGGGGAAGGGGAGCGTTTTTCCAACACGATTCGCCAACCTCTGAGCCAAGTCGATAAATTCTCACTGTGATTAGCCAACTCTTCTTAAAAAATGTTATGTACCAGACCCACGCGTCCCAAAGTGGGATTAATTTCTAAGCAATCTAAAGCTAAATCATCAATTTCTTAAACATGGAAGAACCAAACCAGAAATTATTACAATATTTTGGTGTGTAGGCAACTCTTTAGCACCACCTACATACAACCAAAATCTTAAATTAAATCTTATAAGGGATATTTATGTGCAAGAGTATCATTGGACTCCTCGCTGTCGTAGAGTGGTTCCCTGCACCATTAAGCCTATGCATCTGAACATAAAGTACTGGCTAACTAATCCCATATCCGACATGGACTGGTAACAGGACACGAGGACGTTGTCCTCCATATGATTAAATAGGTAAATCCTGTTTGTCTTCAAGCAATGTTCCCTCTAATTTTTTGTAGTATGTGTGCGCAGAAATTTTAGTGTGTGCGCACTTTTTTGGAAATGACTGATATTTGTGCAAAAACCAATGAAGAAATTTTGGCGTTCTAACCGGGTAATAAGTGGGCCAACAACAAACTTTCTCAACCTGCCAACCGAGCACATTGTTACATTACATCAAAATAGGTTTGTGCGCAGTAAATCTATTCGTGTGCGCACCCTCTGAAAGCTGTGTGCGCGCGCACACCTTAGAGGGAACACTGTCTTCAAGTAAGCATCGCTATAAGGGGGAAATACCTATGCATGTACATACACAGTCTGAAGTAGAAATTGGACCTCAATATCCATTGAAACTAGTTTGGTTCAGCCTTGATTGTAATGTGATGTGTAATGTGAACTAATTCATGTCTCAATTACCATTAATCTGCTCAAAATCAAACTTAAACTCGTTCATGGATTCTTGCACAAGTTTTTTAACACTTGCACCTGTGCGGTAACGTGGCCACATACCAGTAGTAATCAATTGCCACTATTATCAATTTAACACTTCCCCACTGTAACAAAGTGGATGTCTAGGACACTTACAAAATTACCCGAACAGTTCTCACAACATAAGCACTTTTGCTTCAAGCAAGCAAATTGAAATGGAGAATACACCATCCATCTAGTAGAGGCCTAGTGGCTGTTTAACACAATCCTTAAAAAGCGATGCGAGTTGGATAATTCGCCAAAGCCATAATGGGAAGTATTAAAAATTCCGAAACTTAGATCATCTTGATTAGGACAATGGGTGTTGCCACTCTTTAACCAGCCTTGGTTCTCCATAGCTTCTCTTCTTAGGTAAAAGGATAGGATTTACATCTTTATCCTGGGAAAGTCGATGGAATGACTTAATCATATGACGAATCACTCTATGTCGGGTATGAGATTATTTAGCCAGTTATATTGATTCCATATGCATGGACTCGATGGTGGGGGAAGTCGTAATCGACCAGCAGTTACGTAACCATCTTGCGGTGTCATGATGCGCCACCCCGCCAAGTGATTGTCATATTTTTGTAAAAATAAAACTTGGAACTTGATATTGATACTTGAATATCTTTCTCTAATTTTCAAATCAATTTCATTGTTTTGGGCGACATCAGAATTGAAGATGCTTTCGCTGACATTGCAAGAAAATTCACGTCGTTCATTCATTTCAAAATGTTTGCTTTATCTGGAAATGGTCTCAGGCTCAGTGCTGGAGAAGTTTCAACAATCATTGCAGACAATCCTGATTCTGTTGAAGATAAAAAGTTTGGAATGCTTGATCTTTGGAAAGAAAAACATGGTTGGTTCTCATTAAACACAATTGTGAGTTTATAAACAGCAAGAAAGCTGTCTCCTATGAATAATAGTCTTTTCTATCACAAAATACCTTTCCTTTTTATAGAGGCTATAACTATAACTAGAGACTAAGCACCTTTCAAAAGCCACCACCTTCTTTGTGTTTCAGGATCTAGAGCGTCACCTACCAACATAGCAGAGGTATTTAAGCAACATTTCAGGCAAGAGGGAGGTGGTTTCACTGGTAAGTTATGGGAGGTTTTCTATTACATGATATCATTACTTCAAATAACTTGTCAAATATATATAAGTTCAAGCGCCACTGGAGCATTTTAACAGGTTTGTCTCACTCGGCAGAGCGACAGTTATTATCACGAGTTTTGTTATTATGTTGTTGTTTGAATTCTTTTTCTCATTCTTCTTCTTTTCGTTATGAGACAATCACTTTTCTCATTCACCACTGGACCAACAAAAGTAGTATTACCTTTATTTATTTAGAAATCGTTTTCTTTTTTTGGTACGATGACATTATAGGGCACTTCATACCAATTTGCTTTACCTTCATGTCCCTATATTTGTGCATCGCTCTCTTATTTCAGATTGACTATGCTCACATCAGATGTGTTTTTTGTTTTTATCATTGTACCTCCATGTCTGCTCTGGTATTGCTTTCCGCAAAATTCTTGTTCATATATGCTATTGCTCTGAGAAATTTCTACAAAAACCTCATCTTTGTTTGCACTGTATATAAATTGTTTTATTGGTTTTCTATTTCAGCAAATATAAACACTTTGCAGACACTGCGAACCTGAGTTTTATTTTTAATTCCAACTTAAAAATGCTGGGTTTTCCAAGAACACTCAATAGGACATTGACCTATAGCATTTCACCGCTGTGTCAATCAAATAATAAGCTTCATATGCAAATGTGATTGAATCCGTTTCTTTATCAGGTTCAAGGATCGAGGATGTTTTCCTAGCAGTTCCTGAACGCTTCGCCAACGCAGCGCAGTTCCAAAGATTTGCATTGTCTGGGAAAGTTTTATCGCTTAGTATGCACGAGGTCGGAAACATAAACGAAAATACAAAAAATGTGGAAGAGAGGAATCTGGATTTGCTCGTTTTGTGGAAATTTAAAATCGGTAAAGTTTTGATGTTTGCTGTATTTGTTCAACCTCTGAAAACTGAAAAAGAAATTCCATGGTAGTGTATCAGCCATCAACCAAGGCGAATGTATTAATTAGCAATCATTTGTTACATCTTTCCTAAACTCAGTTATTCCTGTCCTACTGTCCGCCAACTTACTGCAGTCTTCACAAAAGTCTGGCTTTGATTTTATATTCTGTATCTTTCACGCATATTTATCCCATGTCAGTCATCCACACAGGGTAGTACGTGTCTAGAGCTGTCTCGGAGAGCATGTTACAAGGGTGGGTTTTATTGCTTAGTTTGATTATTTAGCCATCAACCAAGGCGAATGTATTAATTAGCAATCATTTGTTACATCTTTCCTAAACTCAGTTATTCCTGTCCTACTGTCCGCCAACTTACTGCAGTCTTCACAAAAGTCTGGCTTTGATTTTATATTCTGTATCTTTCACGCATATTTATCCCATGTCAGTCATCCACACAGGGTAGTACGTGTCTAGAGCTGTCTCGGAGAGCATGTTACAAGGGTGGGTTTTATTGCTTAGTTTGATTATTTAGCCATCAACCAAGGCGAATGTATTAATTAGCAATCATTTGTTACATCTTTCCTAAACTCAGTTATTCCTGTCCTACTGTCCGCCAACTTACTGCAGTCTTCACAAAAGTCTGGCTTTGATTTTATATTCTGTATCTTTCACGCATATTAATCCCATGTCAGTCATCCACACAGGGTAGTACGTGTCTAGAGCTGTCTCGGAGAGCATGTTACAAGGGTGGGTTTTATTGCTTAGTTTGATTATTTAAATAATAATAACACAAATATTTGATCTTCAACTGGTTTATTTTCAAGTATAACAACATCTATAATTTGTTTATCATCCCTTCATAGTTCAAATAATACTGAGCCACCAATCATGTGACAAATTTGATAGGCAATACCGAGACCGGAACGATATCACAAAAATAATAGCTCTTTAAATTAGATATCAGTCATTGCTTGCACAATGCCTTGTTCAGGTTGAAGGGCGTGACTAAGCGTTGTATAAAATGTTTGGGACTCCCGAAGCGTGTGTACCAAATTGAGGTTTAGCCATAATTTCATTCTAAGTTTCCTCTTTTTAGTTCTATTACGGTTTGGTGACAGTCTGTGTTAGCCAAGTGAATATCCCCCCTGCCCATAGATTTCAGTCCCTTTACACAACATGATGTAATGTAGGCGAACATAATTAGTTACCTCCATCCATATTGGTACACACACTTCTGGAGCGCCAAAAGTTTAATATCAGATTTATATTATCATTTTCTATTTTAATAACACAGGAGATTCAGCAACAACTGAAAAAATCTGACAACTGGTAAATGCTTTCCTGGATGAAAGAGGAGAATCCCACCCAGGTAAAGTGTTACTCAAATACAGTTGCACTGACATCTGTTGTTTTGACAACCTGATTGTGATACCTGATTTACAAGTTATCTGGGGTTGATGGCTCAGCTCAAGTCGCACCTGTGAGAGAAAACTTCATTCTAGCGAGGCAGAAGACTTATAATCAATGCAATAGTAAACCTCCCAGCTCTCACTTGTTCAGCCCAGCCCAGATCGAATATTAAAATAGAATTGTTCCAATTTCAGACATGCACTTCGCCCTGGAGTAAAATTTGATTTTCGCTTAAAAGTGCCCCTTAATGCTGCTAGAATAGACAAAGTTAGTTAAAACTTTGAAACGGTTTAAATGTCTTTCGCTTTGCCTCCAAAATAAACGCATCATACTACAGAGTCTCTGCAATTTATGAATGAAATCTCATTCTGATTCATACTTTCCATACAGATCAGTCTCCACTGCATCCTCGCCCAATGGAACCTCCTGTAGATGAGGAGAGAGCGGGTGACGCTGAACCACTCAGACCTGATGTTGAACCACTCAGACCTGGTGCCGAACCACTCAGAACTGACGCTAAACCACTCAGACCTGATGCTGAACCACTCAGACCTGATGCTGAACCACTCAGACCTGATGCTGAACCACTCATACCTGATGCTGAACCATTTCAGGCTGATCCAAGACCAGTAAGGCAGGAACCTGGTGAGCGTTTAAAGAAATTTCTGCGCAACTTTGTTTCCATTTTAAAACAAATTTGCTCAAAACTAGGTCTTGTTTACCCTCGAGGCCATACTCACTCTCGCTCCGGAACAAAAGAGATTTCCTGCACTAGCAGCCACCATTTGCCGAGAGCTACAGACAATATACTTTAAAATTCCATATAAGTCAGGTGTAAGATTGGCTATACATCGCCATCTGAAAAGCCTCCCCCGTAAAAAAATTGTTTGTTATGGACAGTCGCTGCTGAAGTGCCAAGAGCTACTAGAACTGTAAAGAATTAGAATGGTGAATCGTAAATAAGTAAATAACGATGAAGTACATACTTGAAGCAGTCATCACCACATTTACGCTCACTAAGTATAAGAATCCCATGGATTGGCTGAAGGCTCGATGGATCAGGGACTAGAACCAGGGAACATAGATAAGTCTCGCACTCTGACTCTGTGGGTGGAATTGTGGGCTCTCCAGAAGTATGTGCACCAATATGGAGGAAACTACTTATTCCGCCCATTTTACATCAAGTTGTCTAAAGCGACTGAAACCTATAGTCCGGCAGAATCGGGCTTCAACATTGTTTTGGGACATAAAGTTTTATTTATTGTTTAGATATAATGTATATGACATATATAATGATACCCAGGTGGGTGTGGAGTATATAATGTTGAGCAATTTTTTTTAAATGGATTTCAAGTATTCGTTCCAAGATGACGCACAACCTGAATCTTAACCTGGTAAACAAACAATGTTCAGGTTGTGCGCCATCTTGGTACGAATCCTTCAGGAGCGCCTTTTTGTTAAAAAAATTATTTCATAACTACATGGGTTAGTTTTGAATACATAGTAACATTACATCTCCTTACAATGTCAGAAATTCAATTTTAATAAAATAAATGGTAGTTTATTTCACTAATGTAAGCCAAGATCCATCGACAGCATCTAGCCACTTTTGCGCTCGTCAAACTACATTTGTGTTGCTGCGGGCATTTCGTTTTCCTGCTTAAAGCTTAAGGACTTGGGAAATATTTTATTTGTTGAAATGGATTGGAATATTCGACCTCGTCTTTCACTGGTATCTAACGATGTGTAACGTGTTTTCGTTTGAAAAAATCGAAACCTTTCAGGTGCAGCATTGACTTTGGCCAAATTAATATATCCTTGTGGAAATAGGAGGTATGCGTATGCGAAACCGAGATGTGCACCTGTTATGCCAACATAGTTGAGTCAAACACTTTGATTACTATTACATCACACACATTTCCTGCGTGCTTCGGTTGTACGTAGTAACGCGTACATTTTTGCGAACAAGCATCAAATTCCACTTGATTATTGGGCTATAGGTTTTTGACGAGCATTTGTGTATGATTTCATTCCATAGAATTTGTATGCTGTTTTAACGAATACTAGTTTCAGCTTTTTTATTCATTCAAACCGCGTGTTGGAAGTGAGTTTTGGAATACTGCGTGTTGGTTTTCAAATGCTTTATTTATATCCATCACTTGACATCCTTAAATCGGTGATGCCAGTAAATCTTTAATACAAAAAAATTAGTATCATCTGCAATAAAAACAGCAATACCTACTCAAATGACAGCTGGGGGATGGATACTCATATTACCTGCTCCATCGCGTGCCTCTTACCAGTTTACATGAGTGCCAATTGGTATTTAAGCTCAGCCAGAGACAAAAAGTTTCGGACTGCAGTTGGCGTGACGAAATGTTTTTAAATATATATTCCACAATAAGATTATTTGATGCATATTACTGAAAGTTAGGCCTTATATGACTTTTCCCATTGCACTATTCCTATTGGTTTGTATTGGTATTTGTATTGGTTTGCAATGCGATGAAATCCCATCTTGGCATTTCTGCCTCTCGCAATTGCTGCGTATGTTTATCGGAGAAGTTCTGTGGCGTGGCTATCAAATGAAGAACACATGGGAGTATTTTTTCCACTTCTCTACTACTCTCAAACTTTGACATTTTGTCAAACCTTTTTTTCATTCGACCTTATTTTTGAAACATCCCCAACAACCACAATTAATTCTGTAATTAAACTTCCGAAACAAACAGATAAAATTATCAACAGATGCATATCACAAAGTCCTAAGTAGATATTGCTAACTTGATCTTTATTTTACCATTTTCATGTAATGCTTTTATGTAAACCTGTTATCGTAAATACAGCACATTTGGCTATGTTGTAGTGTAACTTTTTTGGCCTCACATTTTTGATATTTGTATTCAGATCTCTTGGCCTTGCGGTTCTGTCAAACAAAAGTACATATAAAATATTCGTTGTAAGTTGCAAAACATGATCATGTTGTTGGAATAACTCGGCATTTTACCACCCTTATATATATCATTCATTGTCGAGATGATGAAATCATAAAATCTAAAACCCGTTTTCGTGAATTTTTTGTTGTAGCTGAATTCGAGGGACAGCATGAAAACAGGCAAGAGAAGCACGGTAGCCTCTTATAGTTTATGACAGGGTTTCATAAAAAGGGACCCCGGCCTCCTTGGAGGCCACTGATCGGTTATCTGGGAGCACGAACAAACAGATGAAAATGCGAATATATAATAACAATGTATTTTTTTAGAAGAGAAAAAGCAAAAGTGTTGAAAGTCTTTGGTAGTTTGAAAAGCATTGGCATGGAACATAAGAATGAACTATATTCTTTTCCAGGGATATACTATAAAATGTAGCAATCATCTCATTCTTGTTCTAGTGATAGCATTATCTTTCACTGCATCGTGGTGATCATCCCGCTGCATAACAATCCTTGCTAGCAAGTAATTGACTGTTATCCACCGGGTGTATATCTACTTGAACCACTGCAGACTGCATTAGCAGGCTTGTATTGTTAATTGCAACAAAAGCGGGTATTTTGAAATAGTACTCTTTATTTTACGCGTATGTTCCAACAGTATTTCCATATATATGGAACCTGAACATAGTATTGTAAAAGGTTAGGGTTCAGGTTGTGCGCCATTATGGTGCACAGATTTGATGAAAAACACTAATACAAATATCAAGCCGTAAAAAAAATTGCTCAAGGCTGCAAACTCCACACCCATGTAGAAATGATGAGCAATAACCCCAAGATTAATAATCACAAATAAAAAAAACTTTATGTCTGAAAACAAGGTTGGGCCCGAAAAGGCCCCCTTATCTGCCGGACTAATATGAGCAGGGGAGTATTCACTTGATCAACACAGAAAGTTCACGACTCATCATAGAACTAAAATAAGGAGAATCGGAATAAATTTATGTCCTATTCTTAACCTGGTACACATACTACGGGAGTACCGAACTTTGTGCAACTCTAGCGCCCTCTGACGCTTGTGATATATGTATAAGAATAAGTATAAGATTTCCATGTCTCGTACTCTGTGGGTTGAATTGTAACTTGGTGGTAGATTACCCTGGGGAGAGGAAAGTCAGCAGGCTTCTGTGAAGTATTCTAATTTCTTCTTTGATTTCTTTCTTTAGCTGGAAGATTCGCAGAAAAAGGGGAAGCATCATCTAAGGCTCAGCCGTTCCATTCTGAAGAGTCTGAAGGAGCATCGGCACCAGGTGGAGCTAGTTAGTAACATTTCTGCTAGAGTTTTTGTAAATAAGGAAACGATTTACTTATTTATCCCGAGGATAGAAAAGCATGTGCGACTACTCAATCATATGGTAAACCACGGCCTCTCGTCCGGTCACCAGTCCATGTCGGGTATGGATCAGTTAGCCAACTATGTTTAGGATGCATGGACTTGATCAAACACTAATTTATTTTTTGAATAGGAGAATATGGAACGAGTTCATGTGTTTTTATAGGCATTTAAATTGGAGTTTTATAGTCGGAATTGTAAAATTTGGAAAGCTTGGCCAAACTTGCAGTTAAAAAAAAAAGATTGCAAATTATCAGAGATTTTTATTCGAAGCCGAAATCGTCAATTTATGACTTTATCTTTCAAGAAACATAATCCTAGAAATCTTGTTTACTCCACATGAGGGCTATTGGGCCGCCCTTTAGACAGCAGGTTAGGAACAGGAATATATATTTGGTCCCAATCACCATTTAAATGGCCTCCATAGACGAACTATTGGGCTGACATATAGACAGCAGGTTAGGAATAGAGATGGATATATGGTCCCAATCACCATTTGAATGGTCTCCTTCATACAGGGCTATTGGGCTGACATATAAACAGCAGGTTAGGAATAGAGATGGATATATGGTTTCAATCACCAATTGAATGGTCTCCTTCATACAGGGCTATTGGGCTGACATATAAACAGCAGGTTAGGAATAGAGATGGATATATGGTTTCAATCACCAATTGAATGGTCTCCTTCATACAGGGCTATTGGGCTGACATATAAACAGCAGGTTAGGAATAGAGATGGATATATGGTTTCAATCACCATTTGAATGGCCTCCTTCATACAGGGCTATTGTGCTGACATATAAACAGCAGGTTAAGAATAGAGATGGATATATGGTTTCAATCACCAATTGAATGGTCTCCTTCATACAGGGATATTGGGCTGACATATAAACAGCAGGTTAGGAATAGAGATAGATATATGGTTCCAATCACCAGTTGAATGGTCTCCTCCATACAGGGCTATTGGGCTGACATATAAACAGCATGTTAGGAATAGAGATGGATATATGGTTCCAATTACCAATTGAATGGTCTCCTCCATACAGGGCTATTGGGCTGACACATAAACAGCATGTTAGGAATAGAGATGGATATATGGTTCCAATTACCAATTGGATGGTCTCCTCCATACAGGGCTATTGGGCTGACATATAAACAGCATGTTAGGAATAGAGATGGATATATGGTTCCAATTACCAATTGAATGGTCTCCTTCATACAGGGCTATTGGGCTGACATATAAACAGCAGGTTAGGAATAGAGATGGATATATGGTTCCAATCACCAATTGAATGGTCTCCTCCATACAGGGCTATTGGGCTGACATATAAACAGCATGTTAGGAATAGAGATGGATATATGGTTTCAATCACCAATTGAATGGTCTCCTTCATACAGGGCTATTGGGCTGACATATAAACAGCAGGTTAGGAATAGATATATGGTTCCAATAACCAATTGAATTGTCTCCTCCATACAGGGCTATTGGGCTGACATATAAACAGCATGTTAGGAATAGAGATGGATATATGGTTTCAATTACCAATTGAATGGTCTCCTTCATACAGGGCTATTGGACTGACATACAGACAGCAGGTTAGGAATAGAGATGGATATATGGTTCCAACCACCATTTAAATGGCCTCCATAGACGGACTATTGAGCTGACATATAGACAGCAGGTTAGGAATAGGGATGGATATATGGCTTCAACCACCATATTAAATGGCCTCCATAGACGGACTATTGAGCTGACATATAGACAGCAGGTTAGAAATAGGGATGGATATTTGGTCCCATGTTAATTGCACATACAATAGGTTACAATCTATTTTCGATAACCAAAACCTGCTTTACTATTCTATAATTATCTTGTATCAATGGATTCACCTCAACTTTTATTTCTATTTTACAGTTCAAAGCGGTTCTGAAGTTCAAGCTCCTTTCAATGTACTTGGATCTCAAGCAGCAGGGAAGACTGTACCAGGTGACGTGACTAATTATTTAAAGTATGGAATTGCAAACTGTGGCCCATGGGCCAAACTGCGGACCACAAAAAATAATTGTGAGGCCCTCGAGGATGTGTCAATTTTCAATGGTGTGTCCACAAAACAGAAACAGGTTTTTAATTTAGTTAATCTAGTTACTAGATTAACTAAATACTAGATTCTAGTATGTGCAAGCAATTCCAATACCTTTGCATAAACTATAACAGTTCCTGAGGGCCACTGTCATATTAATAAATAAAGTGTGTTTTCACTCACAAATTCTTACTCACCCTTAAACAATGCTGTAAGATCAATAACAAAAAAAAAAAATTTTGTGGCTGCATCTAGTAGAAAGGCTATCTTAAATAAGGGTGTGGCTAATAAATTCATCTGGTTACTTGTATATTGCCCTCCTGTAATAAAGATTGCACACCCCTGATTTAAATATCAATAATAGAAATATTTCACTTTTACTTAATTTTTAATTCCTTCATTCTCTTGTATAATCCCCTAAATTGAAGATAGGTATAGAGACCACTATTTTCAGAAACTAACCTCGGAAACCAGCCTCGGTCAGCACAAAAGTTAGACACGCCCCTGACGATTAGTCTACGCACTTTGAAGCCTCGGATCTTCGTCGTGCAGTTTTGAACCTTGGAAGTCTATTATTGCGCCATAATGAATCAACAAAGTTTTATGACATCATTTTTAATTAACAAGTGGCCTTACAAATGGCGTACTTTAGAGCAGAGGTGTGCAATAGGTGCTCCCAAAGTATATGTACCAGGATGGCGCACAACCTGAACATTGTATGTGTACCAGGTTAGGGGTTCAGGTTGTGCGTCATCTTGGTACAAATACTTACAGAGCACCATGCAACAGGCGGCCCACGAGTCGTAACCCGGCCCGCTGAGCAATTTGAAGAAATTTTGCCAGTTATTCCAGATAATTCAATACTTATATAACCGTTTCTTTCAGTTTCATTTCCGAAAGGAAAGTTTGATCGAGCTCACTTTGGGGACCAACATATTGCGACTCAAAATATAAGTAAGTGTTTTGCTTTTTTTATCAAAAACTGAATCGAGGGGATTTCTCACGAAAAGAAGTCTGTACAAGATCACAGGCTGCAATCGGAGAGAAATTCCATCGACTCAAAGTCGCATAAAAACTACATTAATGAGTTTCAACTAAGGGTTTGCAACCTGTGGCGCAGAAAGTAAATTGCGCCGATTTTGAATGCGGTCCGCGAAACAAGCTTTTTCATTTGATTTAATCTTTTAATCAGTAATCAGTAATCAGTAGTTTATTTTTTCACCACACATGAAATACACTAAATGCATACGGAATGTAAAAGGAAGCAAGAACGGATAATTCGAGGTGAAAGGAGTCGCGAAAACCAAAATTGGTTATCGAGCAGCGACACCTGAGCTAAAGTCTAATAAATGAATCATAAAACAATGAAAAAAGTCAAACAATGAATAAAAGAATATAAAGAAGTGAAAAATCGAGACGACCTGAATCCAAGAGACGCTCGAAACACAGAAAAGCAAAACCAAAAACGACTCCAAGCACAGATGTGCGAGTAACTATGGGAACGGCAGCAGGAATGCAGTACAGTGCGATGACAGGATACCGAACCGATATCGCAGCATTATGGAATTGATAGTTATTTAAACAGATTTTAAATATATCCCGGTAGGGATATTATGCCGATAACACGGCGTAATCATAGTTATAAATGTTCGCCAAGAGTTCAAATAAGGTGCAAGTAGATTGCAAGTGCTGGGGTAAGTCGAATCGTCATTAATACATTACAGATGAAAATTATTCTAATCTGTGAAAAACAGGTTAAATCAAACAAAGTAGATGGGGGTAACAATAAATAGCCTTGTAAATTAGTAAGCATACCGCTTGGAATCGTTGAGAATATAGAATGAACACGATATGTGTATGAACAGATGGATGAAATAACCACTGCAGCACTGAGTATCAACAGTGCTATATATATACAAATTTCAAAAATGCAACAAAGCACAATAATAATAAAGTGGTAAATATGATAGCTTTTTACAAAAATATATACGAGATAGTTATTAAATTGTATTTGGGGAGAGACCAATATCAAGGATCATGAGTGTAAAACTGTTCAAAGATACTGCTAACACTATACGATTAGGCTATGAGCAAAGTTGAATTACCATTGTATGACAAATGGCCATACAGCATAATATAGTGCAGAGCATGCACTATGGAAGTAGATGATAATAAAGAAGCAATTTAAATATTTACATGAAACATTCAGATTCACTTATTACAGGTACTGTCGACTCTGGGAGGTTGTGGACCTAGTCAAGTATTCTGCTGGCAGTGCCGAGGGAAAGTCAGTGAGCACATCAAACAGATGTGCTGGAAAAAGACAGGTAGGATGAAAGCATGGCACTATAGGCACTATAATTTAATAAATGTTACACACCGCTGGTTTAGACTATGACTTCGATAACTTGCACTGATTAAATTAGTTGAGGGGATTTGCAGCATAACGTCCTCTTTTTTAATTTCAATACTTAAGTCCAGCTCTAGAAAAATAATTGGGACAATATGTTTTATCCTGTAATAAAAAACGACTCAAAATTGCAAATTTTACCTCAATTTAGTTTTTGGAGCAGGGCTCTAGGTTAAAATACAAAAATATAGAAACGTAGAACTTGTTAACCCTGGTATTTAACGTGGTTGTACAATATATGGAATATTTCAATTTCTTCACAGCGAACTACCATGGTCCTGTGGTTAATCAAGCTTCTGCTCAACAAGAACGCCAAGATGCACTGGGTGGACGAAAGGCCGCTGTAGGTTTGGGGGAAGATGGAGGTCAGTTTGAATTGATAATTTGGTAAAATATTGTGAGGCTTGCTAATAGGGAGACAAACACATATTTTCAGGAAGGCACTATAATATGTCTATATAATATATATATAATAATGTTACATTGGTTACAAAATTTAAGATTTACATATATCTTTAGGAAGATACTATAACAGAGCTACTTAACCAGTCACCAAAGGTTCGCACACAAAATTTGAAATTTACATATATCTTTAGGCAGACACGATAACAGTGCTACTTAGCCATTCACCAAAGGTTCGAACACAAAATTTGAAATTTACATATATCTTTAGGCAGACACAATAACAGTGCTACCTAATCATGCGCCCGTTATGTCCACTACGTGTCCAACAACATAATAACAAAACGATCGTTATGCCCACTAACGTGTCCATAATTTTTTAAGGTCAAAGTTCGGCATTTTTCGCTATGACATTCGGATACATATTTCGTGTGGCAATTTGCCGCGATAACATGGTTTTCCAGTTTAACTGTCTTTCTATATGTAAGCTTGAAAACACTGAAATATGGCAACTCCAGATGGCAGACAAGTGAACAGACCTTATAGAAAAGCATCAGTGAGTAAAACATTGAGATAATTGAATGAATATAATGATAATAAGATCTCTCTCGGAGATAATAATGAATTTACAGCATTCAAGTATTCAAAATCATTTGTTGTCTGTCTACTTTTTGTGTTGTTCTGTTTTACGTCAGAGTGCCGAAATAAAAGGAATAAGGATTGATTAATTTGGTGACGCCATGATACTGTGATATATAGAACTGTAGAATAGGTTTTTCACAGTAAGATCAACACCTAAATTCTGGAACTTTGCTAAAACTATAAATGAGGTTTGAATAATTATAGAATTAGGCTATTGGAATTTTACACGGCTCAAAAAGTCTGGTCTCTTTTATACAATACTGCAGTACGACACAGTTCACTAATTCCATGATTAGCCCCTTCATTAACCCTTTTTTTCCGCTGTATACAATCGACTTTATGTACCATTTTATAATATGCAATGACCAGTTAACCAAACGTACAAGGAACACCCCCAATATCTCTTTAAAAAGCTTATTTTCGCGTCTTCCTACTAAAACGCGCCCAAATGACGTAGGCGAAACTGTTCGACCCTACGCGTGTAAGAAGAGAGAAATTTCAAAAAATTTTGAGAGAACGTTTCACACTCTTATCGCTTCGATGAACACGTGTTACAAAGAAACGAAATTCCAAGCGCTCTTCTGAAAGAGGGTTACGTCACCTTTGCAGAAAAACCAGACTCAGCTTCGCAAGCGAAGCGAAACGCGAAATAATCAATGATATGTGAGAGCATGTCCACGATAGTTGTCTGGAATCTTTGTTTGTTTATTATGTGCGCGAAATTGTTTCCCGCTCGTTCAAATGACTTATTTTTGAAGTAATGACAAATACTTTCGTGTATCTCTAAGCTTTGAAATGCCTACACAAATAAAATTCACTTAGTAGTAAAATAAAAAATTTACAAAAAAACAAAATGTTGACAGATCAAGCACGGATCATAGTTGGATGCTCAAAATGATTTAGTTAGTGCGGAATACTTCACAAAACATGAACATAAACGTAAAATAGTCCGAAAATAACTATTATGACCAAGGATGGTAATACGAATATATAAGTTATACGGAACAAAAGAGTTAAAAGACACCAATTAGAACTGTAAGTGCAAACCCCTCTTTTCCAAGACGATATTGACAAGCCTGTACTGCGCAATGTAAAATCTTCGTGTGGCATATTTATTAATAGTGGAAACCCCAGTAGGTATTTGATTACATTTAAACAATATAATGTAGACTTTCGAATTTGAATGTAAAATCAAGGAACCCAGATTGAAAACCAGGTAATGAATTAGTTTGCCAGATATTCATTTTCAGATGAATGGAGTTCAACAGGCCTGGCACACATTCCTATTCCCCCGCTGAACATAATGCATCACACCGCCAAGTTGCATCTGTCATTTCATTTCAATTTATATTCAAATATTTCAATGTTTGGCCCTCGTACATTATTTAATGGATGTCACTTCAATGTGTCAGCGTCTTTTTGGATCGAACCTTAAATCTATAATTTACAACTCACCAAAACCACGAGTCGAATTCAAGTCATGGGTTATCCGAGTCAAGTCCTTCACTGAGTTAAGTCCATTGGCGGTCTGTTGATGAGGCAGAGTCGTTTCATTCAGATAACTCGAGTCACTTCAAGTCTTCGATAACTCGAGTGAATCAAATTAGGCACACTTCCTTTACACTGCAGTAGAATTCTCATCTCAATATGAAAAGGGCATTGCTAAGACTCTTTTCTTTTTGTTTTTCATGTTAGGCTGAGCTCCAGACTGGATTCCATGGCAGGTGCACGCCCGAGGGCGCTAGCGCTCCGCAAAAATGCACGCGAGCGAAATCAATTTTGCACGCCGAAAATTTGCAATTGCTCACCAATGTAAATTGGTTTAAATGGTTTTAAAATCAATAATCCAGTAATATAAAGATGCCAAAATATTATAACTCCACAATTGTCGACAAATACCAGCCTGCAAGATTTGGTCTGATCAAAATATTGCGAAGCAAAAAGACCATGGACCTTTCCCCAACCTTTGACCCGCGAAAAATTCCTCTCATTGTTACGTCCTTTTTTGCATCTTGCTGATTGGCCAATGTCACGAAGTAAACAAGGAAGTCGATGTTCGGGGAAAGGTCCATATCGTGTTGAATGATAGGAAATAGGAATGCCGTGAGAATAGTTATGGACGAAAAGATCGCCTCCGCACCAATGGCCAAGTACGGCTCTGATTCAGCGTATTTTTCATACAATAATTTTACACGAATGTACTGAACAGTACCGGTATTTAAAGTTGCTCAAACACTCCGAAAATTAGTGACAAAGTATGAAAATAATGTTTGGGGTCAAAGGTCAAACATCCATTTTGCTCTAATTTGACGTATTTTTTATCCATTAATTCTACGTAAAAACACTACCAAAATTAATGACAAAGTATGTCCATTTTGCTCTGGTTCAACGTATTTTTTATCCAATAATTTTACGCGGATGTACTGAACAGTACCGGTATCCAAAGTCGCACAAACACTCTCAAAATTAGCGACAAACTGTAGAAATAATGTTTGGGGTCAAACGTCCATTTTTTCTCTGATTCAACGTATTTTTTATCCGATACCGGTAATTTTACGCGGATGTATTGAGAGGTATCTGATGTCAAAGTCAGTTGCACGCGAGTGCAGTTGTTTTGCACGTCGTGAGCTATAATTGCACGCCAGGAATTCTTATTTGCACGCGGGAATTTCTGATTGCACGCCCGATTTCTCATTCAAAAAGGCCATGAAATCCAGACTGGGCTGAGCTGATGTAGACTGAACTCCCATTAGCTTAGGATAGCTTGCAGCTGTTGTTAATTATGTCCAGTCCAGTGGTTCTCAAATTATCATGATTTGTGCTAGAGATTCTTCTAGAGATTTTCAAGGCTTTCAAGTTAAAAAACAGACAGTTTTCGTAATGTTTAATAATATAAAACCAAAAAACCGAAGTGAAGAATATTACAATCAAGACACACCTAGTGGAAGCTTTTGCTTGTGGCGTCCTTGGCCAAGGCCCCTGTTTAGTTCATTTGATATTAATGTAACAGGAAGAAGAGAAAAATAGCAACCATCATTTTTCCGGATTTCAAATAAATTTCTTTCAAATCAAATTTTAAAATAGAATGTTCCATGTGAATATGAATCAAATGTTGTTTTCGTGACATGTTTTGGAACTTTTTAAATTACTCGTTTATTTATGAAAGACTCGGTTTCCAACAATTTATCTTTTTGTCCTCAGAGCTCTCGAAGCAGAAAACTCGAAACTTTGTGAAAAACAGAAGTGGAATTCGAACAAAGTCGCGAATATTTTGCGACTCAACTTGATGTGGTTCAGGATAAACTGAACAGAACAACACAAGCCTTGAAATTGTGAGATTTTGTCTTTGTTTAGGGTATTTTTATTTTTTCAGTGGGGAAATGATGATTAAAAGTTGAAATGAACTTCATTTCGTCTGGTCACCAGATTTAGTAACAGAAGCCGTAAAATTTTAACATTTAGTCCTTGTATGAGAAATTTTTATTTTTTTTGGGGGGGGTGGGGATCGAAAATGATGATAAAAGGTCGACTTATTCTTGTCTGGTCGCCAGAAAGCCTGAAATTTGAACATTTTGTCTCCGCATAGGATATTTTTATTTTTTCATGGAGTGGTGAAGTAATGATAAAAAGTTGGGAATGGCCATATTTTCTCCAGGTTACCAGATGTAGTATGGTAACAGCCAGAGTGGGTGGAGGGAAATAGGCATGTTATGATTAAAGGATACCAAGATTTCATAAAAAGTGCTTCCCTAAATTAAACTAAAACAACAAAATTTGGGATGAAATATCTGCTCCCATGAGAATTTGTGGAGATTTGGAAAAAAATATGCTCTAGTACTAAAAATTTGAAGTTGTTTAGTTCATCAGTTTCCAACCGTCACCGCTATGGGGGCTCAGATCAGTTGGATGGTGCCACAATGATATGATCAAAACAAAGTTTCTCCCGGCTAATAACTCGCTTTCCTAGGCCCAATTTTTCGACCTGACTTTTTTTTTTTTGGGGGGGGGGGCGTCAAATTGAGAAAGTATGTTTATTTTATTTCTATGTGGCCTGCTTATTATTCGCATGAGTCTTCTCAAGCATGATTTGTGTAACCTTATATTTGGGTCTCAGGGTCTGCCAATCATGATATTTAATCGCAGGCCGGTTATCGTTACTTTAAAGTGAAACACGGCCACCGAGATAAATGATGATAAAAGGTTGACTTATTCTCGTCTGGTCGCCAGAAAGCCTAAAATTTGAACGTTTTGTCTCCGCATAGGATATTTTTATTTTTTCATGGAGTGGTGAAGTAATGATAAAAAGTTGGGAATGGCCATATTTTCTCCAGGTTACCAGATGTAGTATGGCAACAGCCAGAGTGGGTGGAGGGAAATAGGCATGTTATGACTAAAGGATATCAAGATTTCATAAAAAGTGAATTCGAAGGATTCGAATATTTTACGCAGCACAAAATCATCCTAGTAAAAAGTTCATACTTTTGAATACAAACCAATGGCAACCATTATCCAAATAAGATCCCAAAAAGCGGGATAAAGTATAAATTATTTTTCCGACTTGTGACAATTTTTTCGGGAGTACGAAAATAAGAATCAAAAAAGAATTATGTTCGGCACAATATCACGGCAATCTGTGGACATAAATTGTGTGGCAAACTCGCGATTAATATTAATTTTTGATTTCTATTTTCGTATTTACAGAATACAACGGCGATCTGTGGACTTAGAATGTGTGGTAAACTACCGGATTAAAAATAGTTTTTGATTCCTATTTTCATATTTATAAAATAATGAAAGTAATATTACTCAAACATACAACGGCGATCTGCGGACTTAAAATGTGTGGTAAAGTTCCCGAATATAGGTACCGTATATGATCGCGTATAGGCCGAGTTTAAAACTCAAAAAAAAAGTTGCCAAACTAAGGGACCGTCTTATACGCGCATGACTCAGATTGCACCAAAATAATCGGCTCATTCACGTATCAGAATTTGTTCACGCAACGAGATGATATTATGCTGACTTGCCGGTAATTCCAAAAGCTTCAAACCATACCAAGTTCTCATGATAAAACGCATCGCGCACACACACACTCGCTTGTGAAAGTGGATTGTCTCATCATACAGCTGATGGCTTGTACAGTCTGTGATTGGTTGTTTAACACGTGACGCTTGTACAGGCTGTGATTGTTTGTTTTCGCTTGTGTTTCTTTTATATAACAGCAACAGTGTCGATTTACGGCCAGTTGTTTCGTGGTGAAAACTTTATTATTTGGTGCACTTTCGCCGTAGAGGCAATTAACGGCGCACGACTTTCAATCACCTTTAAGATATGGATATGTTATCCGTTAAGGGGCGGTGATAAGGACTCTTATCGAAATTAACCGCGTTGTGGAGGATCAAAGGAAATTGTTTTATGCTGACTCAGGGACTCTCTTGAACTCCCGACAACAATCCCTTCCATTAATACAAATCACGACGCATGAAAAGCAATATAGACTTTATTAACATGCATTTACAAGTAAGAGTTACGAGTGAGAATCTACGGCCGTCGCTAACAAACAGAAATGATAAACGTTAGAAATATTTGTGTTACAGCAATTTTGTTTTCTTTCTGCGCCTTTCTTAAGGTGTCTGGCGTGTTAAGATTCGTAGTGATTTATAAGAATGTGTTAATACAGCGTTATTTCTTTCCTTGAAACGGACAAGAAACGAAATTAATCGTCGTTGTGGCGATCAAAGGAAATTGTTTTATGCTGATTCAGGAACTCTATTTTAAACTCCCGACACAATCACGACACATTGAAAAGCAATATAGACTTTATTAACATAAATTAACAAGTAAGAGTTATAGGTAATAATCCACCTACGGCCCTCGCTAACATGCAGAAACGATAAACGTGAGAAATGTTTGCGTTACAGTAATTTTGTTCTCTATTACGTTTTTCTTGAAGCGTCTGGCGTGTAACGATTCGTAGGACCGGCTTATGTGCGATTTTTTATAAAATCGTTGTTCTAAGGCCGTTTTTAGGGAGTCTGCCTATTCTCGATATAGGCGTAATTTCGGGAAAATACAGTAATTAATTTTTGATTCGCATTTTTGTACTCACGAAAAACTTGTCACAAGTCGGAAAAATAACTCGTACTTTATCCCGCTTTTTGGCAAATAATTTGGGTAATGGTTGGTATTTAAAAGTATGGGCGTTTTACTAGGATGATTTTGTGTTGCGCAGTTATTTAAATTCATCACCGATACCACTATTGCCCTATTAATTTAATTCTGTTAACATGACTCATGGTATATAAAATATATATCGCAATAATCTGCAAATATGAAATGCCTGGTGATATAGCTTGGTTGTAGATAGCAGTTATTCAATTGCTTATTGTATGGAAATACCTACGGTATATACATTTAGATAAGCTTCAATTAGTTGAATTTATTTTCGAATTATTCGAAATTTCATATTCGAAAAAAATAATTTCGAATGTATTCGAATGTATGAACAAGGGGCACTGGAGTGCTAAAAACCTTCGGTAGGCGGCCACGAGCCATATAAGGTTGGCAACCACTGGCTTAGTTCATAAATAATAAAAAGAAATGTTTACCCAACGATGGGAATTCAGCAAAATGAGTGAAAAGGGTTTATTTGTACTTTCTTTATTTTCAGAATGCAGCAGAGTTTCAGAATGCAGCAGAGTTTCAGAATGCAGCAGAGTTTCAGAATGCATCAGAGTCTGAATTCCAGTCCGTCAACGATGAATTGGAACAAAGAGTTCTGAAGGTGAGATATCCTGTCGAATATAAATCTCTGTAACTTGGCAAATCATAGAAAACTTGATGAACAATCTCTCCTGTTCTGACTTCTGTGGCAAATAATTAATCCTCTTTTCGATCACCAACACAGTATGACATGCGACTTAACAATGTGGCACATCCTAATGAGCATTAGGGAAATGCTTGTCTTGCCACCGCTGATTACCCATAAGTGGGTTTCCTAATCCTTTGGGGGATAATTACATGCAAAAGTGTTGCTGGACTCTTCCCCGCATTGGTTCATGGTCTTCCTCCATCATCAAGTCCATGTTTCTGAAACAAGTAAATGGCAAACTTATCCCATGCCTGACATGGACTGGTAATCGTAAATCGGCGGTGTTACACCATGTGAATAAGACTAATCTGCCACAGCATAATTATGAAAATCTGATTAAGCCGTTTAATGGTTCTTCCCTCTCCCCTACGATAAATGAAAAAATCCCCTTATGGGTTAGGCCGTCTTATATGCTTTCCTCTCATCCAGGGTAAATATGAAAATCCCACCCTATAATTAAGCAATCTCGTAAACTTTCAAATTTATTTTTCTTTGCAAGCTGACAATGCATCCACAGATGATGTCATATGCTGAAAGGGTATCATGTCATGTTAAGGTATTTAGATCAGCGGTTCTCAAGCTTTTTAATAAGCCACACCCCCTTTTTGAAATTTGTCAAATCACCACGCCCCTCAAAAATTATCTGAGCCCCCTTGTGGTGCGTATTCCACTGTTTGAGAACCACTGATTAAGATTGATGTATTTTTATGTGTGTTCCACTCTGAACAAGCCTTTGTATATCTGTTCAAAGTTACTTTGGGAAGACAGAGTCTGTATAAGTAATGCCTCAACAATACTCAGTGTGATTAAATTATGTTTATATGCACATCACGAGTGCACAATCAACCACTCTTGAACTTGGATCCACTATATTTTGAAAAACCGGAATTATTTTGGTTTTGCATTGCCAACCTAATTTATTAACCAAGGTTTCTATCGGCGAAGTGTTTGCAAAATGCTTTGTACCTCTGAATAACCTGCGCAGATTACAGTTTTTAATTCAGTGAAGATTCCCCTACTGTTGCCACCACAGGGTGGCTCACGTAATTCCTTTGGTCAGTTACGGCTTCCAACACCAATTCCAGGTATCTGAAACTAATATTCGGTTGCCAATTTGCATACCAGACATGGACTGGTGTTCGGACGTACAGCATGTGAATAGCCCAATTTATTAGTGTGCCCCCCATGCGGTTAAATTTGAATCGAGCTCTATTAATTTGGTGGTCACTCGTGGCTTTGCTCAAGGATGAGTCTTTTTTACTTCTGATTGACCGATTGTCGAAATATATGGTGGAAAGGAAATTCATTAGATAATTTATTCATATGGTGTACCAGGACAAATCTTCCGGTTACCAGTCTGTCAGTGTTGGTTATGGAATTAGTTAGCCAGGTATTTGTTTCAGATGTATGAGCTTGAAGTAGTGAAAATTTTTAGTATTTCAAATTGATAAAATTCTAAGTGTTCGTTCTTGTTAATACAAAATTTGTATTTTCCTCATTGGGAAAATAGATCTCAATCATACAATAGATAAATCATTTAATAAATACCAGGTCACTAAATCATTTATTATTCCACAGGTCAATCATCTTGAAGACGAGAAGTCACATCTGACGTCGGACGTTCATGAATCGACAAACAGATTAACGGAAACTCTAAGTGCTTTACAGAGAACTCAGAAATAAAATGTATGTGGTGGCATCTATGTAGGATGGGGAATTCCCTTGTGGGAGGAAGATATCATAGTATTATTGTGAAAGTCTTTTTTTGGTTTATCGAATATATAGGGTGTCCATAAAGCCTTTTTTGGTTTATCAAATATACAGGGTGTCCATAAAGCCTTTTTTGGTTTATCAAATATACAGGGTGTCCATAAAGTCTTTTTTGGTTTATCAAATATACAGGGTGTCCATAAAGTCTTTTTCGGTTTATCGAATATATAGGGTGTCCATAAAGTCTTTTTTGGTTCATCAAATATATAGGGTGTCCATAAAGTCTTTTTTGGTTTATCAAATATATGGAGTGTCCATAAGGTCTTTTTTTGGTTTATCAAATATATAGGGTGTCCATAAAGCCTTATAAATTGAATTTAAATTCTAATCTGTGAAAGTTTCCTTTTTACGATCTTCTCAAAGAAACAAAAATTTGCCACACGACCATGTTTTTTTTTACGCATAGCAGTTTTGTACATTGTACAGCACTCCTTATCGTGTTTCCCCGAAATTTAGACATGATTTAGATTTACTTTTTTTTTGAAGAATAACACTATGGCTCTTTTTTGGAAGAGCTCTTTTGTGTTCATTTATCAAAAATAAAATTACATTGTAGAAAATCACGAGATTTTTTAATAAACATTATATAAAAAACCGACATCTATTGTTTTTGATTATTTGGTTTCTGCGAGACTTACTACTCCTCCTTCTTCTATGCTTTTGTGAATCCGTATGCATACAATGCAAGGATGCTGTAGCAAGAGTAGAGATAACAATCCTAAGTGATTAAAGAGTCTTGCTGCACACTAACACAAATATATTTCTGTAACGTTTCGTCTGACCATGGTCGGACTTCTTCAGACATACATAGAAACTACGAAACGTTACTGAAATATATTTGTGTTAGTGTGCAGCAAGACTCTTATGTCACTTAGGTCTATTGTTTTTTATCTGTATTTCCTATACAAAAATCAAGTGACAAATATCATAATTGTGATATCACAATAGTGGTGTGATCTTCACCTTACCTCTCCCACACATTTTAAATTTATTTTAGGGGTAGGGTTTATTTAAAATCAATTTAAAATTCAAATTAGGTATTATTTTCAGGCCAGGTCTTATTTTCGAGGAAACACGATAGTTTTGCGATGATTAGCCATTACTGTGTTCTGTGTTATGTCATTAAAAGTTAAATGGGTCGCTATAAGCTGTGGTAATAAATAGTGGGTTCCAACTCTAAAAAGTTTGGGAACCACTGCTCTAAATCCAATCGAAACAGAGGATTTGTGCTCATCTAAACAAGCTTATATAACATATTAATATTGCATTGCTATTAACGGCTACGAACAGTCAGTTTTAAATATTTCTCATTGGTATTCCAGCTTACTTTTGTTCTCCCTAGTAATGAATTCGAATTTGTTGTTACGGTTTATACAGCTCAAGTCATAAGCCATAAATTGGTCTTGTTGTAATTTCATTCCTACGCTAAAACTGATGAAGAAAATTAGTTATTAGGATAATTTGGTGTTCTGCAGAAAATTCGTACATCTAAAAAGTTAGCCCTTCGCCAGGCCGTCATACCACGACTCAGTGGTTGACTTGACCCTCGATTCTGGGTTCACTTTTAATCAACACTGATTGGCTCGAACCATCATGTCATTTTTCCTTCTCCATGAGGAAATCCCTTCACAATGGTTTCACTTATTTTCAGATGTGACTGCTGATTTAATGATTCTCCTCGCGTAAGAAGAAATGAAAAGACACAAAAAAATGGAAGAAATCAATGAAAATTTGGAAAGAAGATCGAAAACATTGCAAGGAATGTCACCTCAGATTGGTGAGTGAACCAAAGCCTTAAAATTATTCTGGAAAGGGGGATTTCCCTGTTTGTGTTTGCTTACTATCTTTGCAAATCTTCCAGATTTATGTGCGCCGATATCGAAACCTCGTACGAACTTGAATGACCTTTCGGACGAAGAGGAATTGGAATTAATTAAGCGACTGACGGCGGAAGTCGGATTAGAAGATTCCCTTGCTAATAGACTAGGTGGCAGCACAGAGCAGTATGACATGAATGTGGCGGATACAGGTGAGTTATGATAGTATAGATATATGATAGGATAGGATTTACGTATTTTTCCAGGGGTTGAGGAAAGCCGATAAGATGGCTTAACCACATGGAGAACCGCGTCATCCAGTTACCAGTCCATGTCGGGTATGGGATTAGTGAGGTATTTGTTTTCAGATGCATGGACTTGATGCTGGAGAAAGCCTTAACCGACCAGCGGTTACGTAGTAACACCCTAGGAGTCCAGCAGTCCTCTCGCATTTAACCATCCCCGCATAGGATTCGAACCTGCGAACCCACGCAGAGTAATCAGAGGTGCGGTGGCAAGCGAATTCCAAACGCTTAGCACGATCAGCCACAACGTCACGCCATTGTTAGTGCATGGTACTTAGCTCATATATATATATAAACTAGAAAAACAAAATGCTTATTAAAGTGTAGCAAGCTTAATAATAGTGACAGACGTAATAGATATATTAATATGGACTACAGGATTTGAATGCCATGTTAACCAGCAAACCTATCCTGGTAACTTAACATTTGTCAAATTTTCATTTTTCCAACATTTCTTTTTCGATACAGGTTTCAAACCTTCTGAGAAGGAATCCAGTGATCTGCCATGGTGTATTATTTGTAACGAGGACGCATCACTGAGATGTCACGGCTGCGAAGGAGATCTTTACTGCCTCCGGTGTTTCAAAGAAGGACATGACAGTTATGATTTGAACGATCATAAGACTTCAAAATATTCGGCACCTAAGAATATGGACTACGACTGAATTCAGGGAACAGGATTAATTAAATCTTGAACAAGTTCTGAAAAATAATATCGAACTTTCTGAATTCATATTTAACAGAAAACACATAGATGTCTAAATTTAACATCTATTACTGGGAAAATAACAATTTGGTAGTTGACCAAAATATTCCATCAGCCATCTTATCAGCCTCTTGATCATTCAAATAGCGATGCTCAAATATGGACACAAGGGCCAAATCAAAGTAGTACGTGTATGCAATCTGTCACAGTAGACTAACGGTACGCAATATTAACGACTATCGCGAGAGCGGAACTGCCACAAGTTTTGATGGCATGACCTCATCGCATACAGAATACGAATCCCACACAATTTGCTCAAATGTACAGTATCTGATATAAAATTTTTGGTACTCCCGAAGTATGCGAACCAAGATGGTGGACACTGGAAAGTAGTATGTGTACCAGGTTATAGTCAGGCCATTATTTCAGGTACAAATACTACGGGAGTCACTTGGCTAGTCCCCGAACTCGTAATATTATTAAAATAAGTAAAATTGAAATAAAATTATGGCCTAATCCTAATCTGGTACGCATACCACGTTCCGGTGTCCGCCATCTCCGTTCACATACTTTGGGAGTACCGATTTTTTTTATCTTCATTACGTTTAATCTTTATTGTGTGCACATTTAAATAATTATTGTTGTTTAGAGATTTTGGAATAATCTGCTGTTTTACTTGTTTTCTAAATTTCTCCATGTTCAACCAACAACACACAGAGTGCATCCACATTGCATAGATCTTGCATTGCAGATAAACCGCCTTCAATTTATTAGTCGTGACATATTCTATGAACCTTCTTCACACAATTTGTTAAATATTTCTAAAATCGAAAATATAGTTTCAAATAACGAAGTGTATTCCATGATTTAAATATCTCTGTGTTTCCTGGGCCTCAGAGCGTATAAAATAAATGTTTTGCCTGAAGTGTAAGCCCACTTAGTAAATATGCCGGTTATAACTGGCATGCACAAGTTGGGATGGTGGTGTATGATGATTATAGATTACATATGGCTAGACCAAGGGTGGGAAATTAGTTTTCTAAAATCAAAATATAATTTTTGGTCTTACAAAGTGTATTTCAATATTTTATTCAATCCAGATACTTTTTTTGTTTCTTGGGCGTATAAATATATAATTTTGGTTTGTGAGCCCCGTAGGGAATATAACTGGAATGTACAAGTTGAGGAAGGGGCACGGCTGTATATGATGAATATAAGTTCCAAATCACATATGGCCCACAGCTAGGCCACAAAAACATTTTTAGGTTGGCCACAGACCTATTCAAAATTGCTAGAGTTGTTGATAATGTTAGTTAAATTTGATGGTAGTAGCAATTGACTATGCTGTTTTTTGTTACAGGGTGGTAAGTTTCACCTAATTATTATAAAACTGAAAGTGTCTATTTTGCAGAGAGAATTCTATGTTTTTCTTGAAGTTTTTCCCCAACATGAAAATGTTAGTGAGCCACAGAATCAGTGGTTGATAACCACTGCGCTAGACCAAGGGAATTATTTTTCTGACAGTTACAGATAATAGACTTGGTTACTGGACTGGAGACTCAAAACTCAAAGTTTATTTACAACAGCCAAGCTAACGTTCATATAGTAATATGAGGTACAATGTAATAATCGGTTGCGTCTGACGTCAGGTGCGTCATATCCCGCTATGCTTGTCTCAATAATAGTCTAAATTGATCGCGGCCGTCACGTGATATTGCTAGTTTCAACCAAAGCCCATATATACCTTGGTTTCAACGACTTCCTTGTTGCGGCGTGATTCGTTAGTTGTAGCTGGCTGGCTTACTGAGTAGTTGTATATTGGACTTTTGAGATATGGACTTCGGTATAAAGCGATATAGGGAATAGGTGTTAATTTGATATAACAGATAAACAACTTTTAGGATTTTAATAAATATACCATTACCCCAATATCGATAAAACGTAGATAAATAATATAGTATGGAAATGTGCCTTAGTTAGAATTGTCCAGATGACATAACTTGCTAGAAACAGTCAATACGATCAGTCATATTATTTTAAATCTCTTTTGTGAAGGTATAAGTTTATTCCGACTCCATAATCGGAGAGACAAATAATCAGCATAACAATAAAATGATTGATAAAAACAAAGGCGCTCCCGTAGTATTCGTACCAAGATGGCGCACAACCTGCTAACCCTAACCTGGTACAATACT